TTGTGGATGGATTACCTCAGTTGTTCTCCTGACTGAAGTTTGGTCCATTTACAGCATCCTGCCATGCAGTTGCATCTGTCCCTAATCATCGGAAACCCTCGTGTTAACTTTTATCGAGTGGAAAAAAGTTAATCCTCCAGCTTCCCTGTGCTAATGTCATTCTAACATAGCTGTGTCACTAGCGATCACATAGCAGAACATTGCGGTGATTATATACCAGCTAGTCTAACTTCAGTAGCCCTACAAAGGTCACTGCTGTTTAGTTTTTTTGTCTTCATTTAAGTTGAAAGTGATAGCAGAGCTGTACATTTACATTTTTTCAGAAATCTCTCAGTCAGAACATGCTATATCATGTTTAGGTGGAAACTAGCGAGCTAATTTTCTGCTAACTTCGCAAGGCTCCTGGCTACGGTACCTGTAATGCTCCGACAATCCATCAAGTCAATCCATCAGGCTTCGTAGCTTACTAAAGGTGTACTAAAAAAACGTTCACCGATTTTTGAGCGTCATGTACCACATAAAATCAGTTCGAGGTCAGTAAGCACAACCAGAATTCATACATAAGGCGCACCGGATTATAAACCGCACTGTCGATTTCTGAGAAAATTAAAGGATTTTAAGTGCGCCTTATAGTGCGAAAAAATGACGGTACATACATGAATACCAAGTCTGATTCTCTGCCGTGTTTGACAGTTTTGTAAACTATTGTGTTTGAGTTTTGAAGCACCCAAATTCTTCCTCTGTTGCAGCTATAAATGGGAGCGAAGCGGCATGCCGGTTCTTCCGACCAGTGGGGGGCGCGTGTCTGTACGCCAAGGCCTTCTCACTATTAGCCAGACGTGGTCAGGTGATATCGGGGATTACACCTGCACTGTGACATCACAAGCTGGCAATGACTCCCGCCCCGCACGCCTGGAAGTCATGTGAGTTCAGGGAATAAATTCCTTCTGCAATATTTAACCCTCTTCTGTTTTAGGTCATTGTTTGACTTTTCCACCCTTAAGAATGGCCACAAATTTAGCCATTAACAGCAAAAACCTGCAAGGCCAAGTAAACAGCCTTGGGCTTTTTGAAAAACAGACACTTGGGGGATGCTGAAATGCAATAGGTCTCCTAAAACTTATCATTAGCCTAGAGTAGGATTTTATTTTACTACGATATAAAATACAGACAGTTTTATTTCCACCTAATCTGCACATTAGAGGATAAAGAACAGCGTTATACCACTGAATAAGTAACACTGACTACAACAACTCTACTAAATTGTATAAAACACAAAGGAAGCATAACAAGGCTGCATCCATTTGACTTGCTGGAGTAATCGAAGCATTCTGCAAATGTGCCATCCTTGAAAATCTTTAAACAAATAAAAAGCACTTGTTGGGTTTTTATAACAGATAATGTAAGGTAAACTAATAAAATATACGTGAGCTACAGGCTACGGATTTTCCTCTTTGCAAGCATTGTGTTGAGTTATATTAACAGGCTGCTTGCTTTAGTTTCATGTTTAATACACTGACAAGAAAATAGCACTATTCTTCTCTTTTAACTCGAATTGGGTTTCTTTATTAAATTCAGAAGCACATAATAAATATATTTTAACTTACCCTACACCTCAGGATAGTCTGATGATCTTTAATTTTCTGTGATAACTCTATTTGAGTAAACTGTGAATAAATCATTATCTTCTGGCAGCAGCGGTTTCCTTCCTCAGGATTTGACGCAGCAACGATTTTGATGTAACAGTGTCTAAAAACCTGAGGGAGCAGTCTATCCATAGCGAGCAATCTGGTTGATTCAAATTACTGATGAGACTGACAGGACGTACGCCTTATGGTACAGCATTTTACAAAAAAGACTGACTATACAAGGTGCAATTTAGGCGACGCAGCAGATGGGTAATTTGGTACACTGCCAAACATAAAGAAATGATTGTTGTCAACTTGTTTCATGTCTAATAAGACAGTTGCTTGGGTCTAGTAATAGCCGTGTTCAGTGCAGGGTCAGAGCCTCTAAATCAAATACTCTGTACATGCCATTGAAAGTCTAAAGACACGACTAGTTGTTATTAGATACCCCTAAATGTTATGCTGCACACTCACTGATAATACATCAGTGAGTGTGCAGCATGTATGGTATGCTGTACAGGTATGTTTGTGTACATACCTGTGCAGACTCCACACATCACTTTGTGTGTCCGGTATGCTCAGATTAAAACATATCACACACACACACACACACACACACATACACACACACACACATATCAGCGTGTATTTGACTCTCTGACCGAATCAACTTTATTACAGCCACTAAGAGAACAGGTAGTGGTATTTGTATATTAATAGGCACTTAAATAATACATTTCTAAAAGGCACTTATGATATATTAATAT